CTGATTTTATGTCTTTCCAAGTAATATTGCTTTGGGTCTCTATTTCTATTATTAATACCCTGTTATATTACTGAGTCAACAAGAATGAACTAACTGGACCAAAATATGTAGAAAATATATTTTATTTAGATTTAACCCCCCCCCCTTTTTTATTATTCATTTGAATTTTATTTCTTATCTTTTTATTTATTTTTTATTTGTTTTGAAAAAAAAGATAAATACTTTCCTGCAGAGATAAGAAACAAGATGAATGAGCATCTATACTCTTTAACCCCCCCCCCCCCCTCCCCTTTCAGTATGATTACGCTGCTCCTGTATTGTTGACAATGATTTTAAAAGTGTTCACAATCCCAATTTGTAAACTGCAAAACATGTTTGTGATATTTTGTAATGTATCTTGCCAGTTCTGAAGGAATGAGGTTTGTACATGTACCACTTATTTTTGAAACCAAGCTCTTCCGAGAACCATTTAATTAAAATTGATTAAATCTTGTATACACTAATTACCTTTCAAGCCGAAAAACACAATAGTGGACTTTGTATTTACCCCTAAGCATTTGTAAATGTAGATGGACTGCACCAGACATGTAAGACACATATGACTAAAACCTTTATTCTAAATCCCCTCTTAGCTGATGCTCTATCAAAAAAGCATGATCTTATCACACCTGAAGCTTCCTACTTTGTGAATTGTAGGAGTTGGGGGGGGGGGGGTTACCTCCTATATTAAAAGTATGGACTTCAAAATTCCTTTTAAGGCTGAAAAAAAAAATGAATATATGCTCGGGAACATGAAAATCAATATGCTAAGTCAGTGGAAACCTATCCTTTGTCTAATTAATACCTTAAAATGCTGGAGAAGTTTATCTAATCTTAGTACTATGGAACTTTAACTCCTATACACATGTGGATTTGTATTTGTATCCCCTAGCAAACCTGTATTAGTACCCACTAGCTAATGCATGGATGTAATAAACTACATGTACATATGCACCGAATAATGCATCTTAATCCCATATGAGATTAATGTGTAAACATAAATTACAATGTAATTATGCTGACTGCTCAAATGAGGGATAAACACATATCACATTATCTGTGAATGGCAACTGGGATTGAACTGATATTTTCAATGTTGAAATGCCCCTGAGATATGCATATGTGTAAGCTTTTCTCTCTCTCTCTTAATATTTTTTTTTCTAGTCCTTTTATTTGTAACAGTAAGCGCATACTATTAAAAAGAAAATATTGTAGGAAATTGATCAGATTGTAACACAGCGTGTGGAGCAATATGTGTCTAACCCCCCTCCCCCCAAGAATTTGTATCTCCTATGCTGATAGGTAATCTTGCCAAAAGTGGGGGGGGGTTGTTTATTTATTTATTTATATTTTTATAATTCCTGATAAATAAAACCAGTTACCTAAACAATTTACCCTTTGTGAATTTAAAATCTGTGAATAAAGAATTTTAACTGAAGCAAGTTTTATCTAATATGTGAAATAACATTGTTTTTATTTAACAACTTAGAGACACAGCAGAAACCAACACTGACCAAAAAAATTAAGCCCCAATTTAAACCTTTTGTCTCATTATAACCTTTTTTTATTGTTTTATTTATTTATTGATTTATTTATTATTATTGCATGACCATACATGCACTATATGCCATAAGGAAAATACATGGAAAGAACCAGCACTGTGAGCCATATTCAAGTGAGTCTGCATTGACTGTAGCACCTGAAGAACACTGTAATTTGTCTCTCATTGCAAAACTGAATGACTTGAGTAAAATTTGTAAAAGTTCAGGGACTTCAAGTTTTCCTATTCTAAGGTTCACTTTCCCTAATGAGAAAGATAACTCAAAGGAATAAATGTTAATTCCTATTAAACTTGATAAGTATTTTATCAGCCTATAAATTATTATTTAATATTTACTTAATTTCTTTTTATTGTGTTTTATTTGTAGAATTATATTAAAATAACCAAAATTCTCTTCTTGTATAAATATTAATAAACAAGTGACTAGACCAATTTTTTTTTTTCATATAATCATTGTCAGGAAATAAAAGCCCATGCTGAAATTGATCTCTATTTGTGAAATAATCTATATATATATATATATTAAATTTAGTAAAATAAGTTTACCTGATTTTTCATGTTAACTAAAGATGGTACAAAACTTTTCATTTACTAAACACAACTATATCAAATACAAGGCCTTTATGCAGATAACGGGTGAGAAGACATTAAATGTATTTGTTTATATTGTGTTAATCATGATATCATAAAACCTCCTCAATTAAGGTACAGGCCCTGTTAGAGAAATTCATAATTATTTTCATGTACACTGGAGACAGCTTCCAAATAGCTTGCCCTTCATTTATTTCCTGTATAATTTTAACTGAATTGTCAACACATCTAAAATACGAGTATATATGCAAAACATGCCTTTGACCCCATCTTACTTAATCTGAACCCTTTGATATATATCAACCAGCAAAAGAGTAGCTAGCTTTGCTAGATATCTATGCGTACTTCATTAAAATAAAATTTGGGGAATCCTATCTATATCAAATACTAGTAGTGAACCATTGAGGTCCTTAATTACTATGCACACATTGTTATTGTTCTAGTTGAATCTGAAGTTGTCCCCCTTGTCAAGTCCCTTAAGAGAAGTGATATCCGAATAGGTGAGGATGCTGCTGGTCCTAATATAACTATTATGTAGATTTGACAAGACAATGTACAATTCAACTCTGGTGCATGGAACCTATGCTCCCCAGATTTTACAGCCTGAATTGTTCATTGTAATGCTTCCATCCAACTGAAATTTTTTACTCAAAATCTACTTAGTCATCATTCATATTTACTTACCTTGAGTTTTGTCATAGCATGTGTACAACTGTAAATATGTATAAACAAATACACATTTTACTTGATGCTTACTTCATATACATAAAATGCATTATTGTAATATAACATTCAAAAGCACCACAACTTGTTCTGACTGTATTTCACTCCAAACTATTTTATTTCACAATTGATTACTGCCTTTGTTGCCATTCCATATCTTCCATGCCTCTCGATCTCTTTGGACCCTTGTTAAAGTTGAATGGCCTTGATTGAAAAATTATATATATGTAGACTTTTTTCCCTTTGTGAATCGAGCTATAAAATATCATTTCTAAAGAAATGTTGCAATAGATTTATTCAACTTTTATTAATTCTCAATCTGTATTTTTTCTATTTATTCTCTGTTTTAATATAAGGAAAAAGGTAGTATGGCACAGCTAGGGGTATAGCCCTATCCTTGAAAATTTATATATTTTTAAAAATATCACAAAATATTTTAAATAAACTGATAAATGCAACGAAACCAAAGTTACAAAAGCATACTCGTATTGTAAGAATTATAATTAAGGATATTCCCATTTCTAAATTTCTAATAGGCCAAGGGACTTAAGTATCTAAATATAGGTTAACATGTGTACGGATGTTTATTGACCAATGACCTTGAATAACATGGAGCGAATAAAGTTGAAGTCCCTAGCTATTTTTACATTAGCCCATTTTGTTTACATATTATTTAACTAAATACGTTTTTCTTCACTCAAAATCTGTTGATGAAGTTGGTTCTTATACTGTTATCTCTTGTACCATGTGCCAGTGCTTAAAGTATGGACGAGTGACAAATCGATCTGTTTCAATCCGATGAAATATTTGCCATCGAGCAATATCAATGTTAATAAGATAATCCATGTTAATTTTTTGACGGAAACTTAACTTTAAAAACTGGAAATTATGATAAAATATTTCATAATACAGAAAAATAAATCGGATACTTTCATCACCCACCTTTCATTTTCATTGATGCATAGAAAAGGGGAGATAATCCGTAAACCTAGTGACTAAGTACCGACACTGTATGGATGAATAAATTCCGGCTTATCTCATTTATTAGTTTTTTCACAAAAAGGAGGTGAATGATGATATATAATAAAAGGATAGAGCTTTGATAACGACGCATATTGTGAGATGAACTCAAATATGCGGTATTATTTTTGGAAGCAATGAAAACAGGGTCTATCCATTTTCATTCGATGAATCAACATCAGCACCTCTTTGAAGAAAAAGTTTCAAGATTCGCTCATCAAAGTTATTAAAAGAGTAAAGTAAACGAGCATTTCCATTACTATCAAACAAATTTACAGCTGCACCATTTTCCAGTGGTAAGCACTGGGAAAGTGTATTTAAGCCTTCGGTATATAGAGCAAAGTTTAATATTGTTGTAATTTCTTTTATTCCTACTCATTCAACCCCTAATTTTAAATGCTAGATATACTTTAAATGGGTTTGAGAAAAGATTTAATCATATATATTTTGAGAAAAGATTTAATCATATATACATGTACTCCTTTTAAACACATGCTTTGATGACATTTATTCATCAAAACATAGTCTGTACCCATACAAAAATGTTTGAAATACATAGATTTAAATGTTTGTTTGCACGTGCACAAATGCACAAAGAGATTCAACAGTATGAGAATGCAAGTTTTTTTTTCATTGGATGAATACATAGACATATTAGATATCCTGCTAGATCAGGTAAAACAAATATAAAACCACAGGTAACTAGACCATGTGACCAAAGCGTATTCTACACTTTTCCTGTTGTTTTCTTGTTGGTAAGAGAGTCGCCATTTCAGGTAAATCTTTCATGTACTGTATTTGAATTTTGATGTTTCTTGATTACAATGTTTTTAAGTCATGATTTTCAATCAATCATGTAGAATACGCAATTACATTTCCATACATTGACCGCTTTTATTTGTTTTGTTTAAGCGATAAATTCTTATTATCTCTCAACAAATAGATAAAATATTTCTGTTGCAAAGTTAGCTTATTTTCATGAAATGATTATTTTATTTCAACAAAAAAAATTATTCTTAGAAATAATACGATTTTCTTCATTTTATAGCGAAAGCTTATAGCCATCATGGATCCTTATATCCGCGCCCAGGATCCGATACCATGTGACCTGTGTGAGACTGAAATGGTACAGGTTCATTGTGAGATGTGCAACATTAAACTTTGCAATACGTGTATTGGAGAGCACATGGCATCCGATGATACCAAGAAAAAACATGAGATCTTGAGATTTATATTTCGGAAGTCGTTTCTATTTTACCCTATTTGTTCTTGTTATGACAAAGAACAATGTGAAATGTACTGTAAGCAATGTAATGTTCATGTCTGCCTCACATGCATTGCCTCTGATCAACATTCAGGTCATACTTTGTTGAAAATTTTGCAAGTTTTTGAAGAAAGAAAAGAAAAGATCACCAAAGAACTAAATGAATTAAATAAAACCATATTTCCAACCTATCAGGATATATCTTCAGATGTACAAAATGCCATAAAGCAGTTAGAAAAAAAATATGGAGATCTTACAATAGCCATAAGAAAGCATGGGGATCACTGGCACCAAAATATTGATAATTTTATCCAAAAACTGAAAGCTGAACTTGATGAAATGAAAAATAATCAAATACTTACTCTACAGAAGCATCTGGATGATGTTAATGAGAAGCTGTCCGAAATAAGAGATGAAATTAACTCAACGGATATGGTTATAGACTCCCAGGACATTTCCGAAATGCTATGTGTTACACTAAATGTAAACAAATATATGAAACTTCCACAAAAAATTGTTCCTTCTATACCTACATTCAATCCAAGCACAGTCCAAGAAGAGGAGCTTTTTTGCCTGTTCGGATCTTTATCACCAGGTACATTAATTTCAGAAGAACAAGGTTACCAAATCAAAACAGCATCCAAAAAATCAGAAGCTGGAACCTCTCATCCAGACAAACAGTTGCTTGATGAACCAGAGCTCAGCACTATAATCTTCACAAGGTATAGAACACACCTAAATAACGTTGTCTGTCTGAATGATGAAGAAATATGGACGAGAGGAAATGAGAAAACCATGAATCTGTTTAGTATCAATGAAGGTTTAGTACTAAAGTCAATCCAAGCTAAATCAGGAAATGCCCCAACAGACATAGCAGTAACAAAAGACGGCCATCTTGTTTATGTTGATTATAAACAGAAATCTGTACACATTGTGAGAAAAGAAGAGATGGAGACGGTGATCAAACTAAAGAAATGGAGACCTCGCAATCTCTGCATGTCTTCCTCTGGTGATTTCCTTGTTGCCATGCACAGTAATGATTTCAAACAATCAAAGGTTGTCCGTTACACAGACTCCATGGAGAAACAAACAATTCAGTTTGATGATGATGGCAAACCTCTCTTTTCATCTGAAGACCCAAAATATATAAGTGAGAATAGAAATATGGATATCTGTGTGGCTGACTACGCTTTTAAGGTAGTTGTAGTGGTAACTGATGCCGGGAATCTGAGAATTAGGTACACCGGGCACACTCCTGCTCCAAGGAAAAAAATATTTAAACCAGCAGGGATTACCACAGACAGTCAGAGTCACATCCTTATATCAGACATAAAAAAATCACTGTGTTCATATTATAGATCAGGATGAACTGTTCCTCGCTTTTATAGATTGTGGACTGAATAGTCCTCTGGGACTGTGTACAGATACAAATGACAATTTGTTTGTTGCTCAGTTCAATAACAAACAACTGAAAAAAATAAAAATATCGTTTATTGATTGATTGATTGATATTGCCGAGATGGCATTTTTCCATTCATATTTCGTCGGTTAACTACAGTGAACGTAGACTCAGAGCTGCACAGAAGTTGCAACAGTTGACATAAAAATGACCTAGAACAAGATGCATAAGCTTTCATCTGTTCTTCATTTGTAGTTACTCTAGAAGTGTTTCTTGATTATGTATGTCAAATCTACAATTATGATTTGTCAGCACCTATTTTAGATGCACCAAATTTCCAACACATGTATTGCTCGTTAATATCGTGATTGTTTACATTAAGAACATTCTTTAAAATTCCTTTTGAATAATCTTCAGTCTTGCACACTCAACAAGTGCAGATCAAAGATTAAAAGACTTAAATAGCATGCTATATAAATGAGTTTAACTGATAAGATATTATTTTCTGTCTGTCTGTAATAAACTAAATACACAGAATATTTACACAATTGATGCAAGTGTTAAATCAATATTTACTTTTGAATAAGTCGACCTCATTCTGTTTCTCATATCTCCTAAAGAAAAATTGTATAAAACATCTCACCAGCAGACATAGAGAAATTCAAACAGACAATATGTGGTGTAGAAAAGTCACTGGCGCCTATATGTATATAATGGCAGTGTCCATGATCTACTATGGGAAACCCAAAATATGTCTCGGATCAAAAAGTAATAGGAGGTGCACAATAGCATTATGTGATAGAGATTCCCTGAAGTCTAATCAAATTCAATGGTATAAGAGGAGTTATGAATAAGAGATGAGTACCCCAAAGTGTAACAGATGGACGGACGGACATCCCGATTAGTATATATTCTCTCGATTTTTATGCGGGGGGGGGGGTATAATTATGTATCTTTGTGCAGTCTACTTGTGCGCCGAGTTATATTGAAATCAGACCAAAACTGTAAGAGGAGTAGCATCTTGAAAAAATGTTGACAGAAAGAAGCGGGGGGAGGGTTATAAAGATAGACAGACAGACGTACAGAATTGTGTATGTTAGTGTAGGTTACTTTTATGCCAAGTTGTAATGAAATCAGACGAAAACTGTAAGACGAGTAGGATTTTGAAAAATTTTAACAGACAGATAGGCAGAGGGACGACGGACACATTACTATTGCATAAGCTCTTCTGGTCTCTCACCAGTAGAGCTAAAAATTAAGATATACGGTCAGTTTATGTAAAGTATTCTTTTAACCTTGTTTACATACTAGTATACAGAAAAAGTAAAACAAACTATATATTGTTTGCATATACTTTTAAATTGGGAATGATGGTGCATGTATAATACATTCATAATTCTGAAATTGTCTCCTATTTTAACCTGCAAATATAGCATGCTGATATCTTTCAAAATGAATATTTCAGTAAGATTTGAACAGCAAACCAATCAATCGAAATTAAAATTAGATGTTTTTAATCCGCTACCAAGAATGATATCTTGTTAGATGTTTGAGGAGCGGTTGCGGATTCAAAACATCTAATTTTATTTTAATTAGATCGACAGCAATAGAAACAAACAGCAGTTTACCAAAATAAATACTGTAAATCTATTTATTAAAGATTATTCTAATAATATTTTTGCGTGATTATGCGAGTCTATCTGCTTGCAAAAATTACATTTTCACGTATATTCGTATTGGTAAGCAATATATACCCATATACATACAATATTTAAGTATGCCAACGTTCAAAAATTAGATAAAATAGAAGAAAAGACAAATCATAGATCTAAATTGTTTAAAGTTTTCATAACATTTTATTAAATCACGATTGTACATAAAATTAAAAAAAGTTTCTTTAAATGACAACTGCTTACGAACAGGTGTTCACAGGGTTTAAAAAAGACACCAGCTGTCAGTAAAATTTTTGTTGACATTTTTTGTTATAGATTTATTTTAAAAAAAACATTTTTTTTAAGGCATTGCACGCTCAAATTTGCTAAAAATTATCTACAGTAAATTATTTCAGACTTAAGGTACATCAAAACCCATAGCGAGAGAAAATTTTGTCTTGCTTTTAAATACCAAACAGCTATCTCGCGAAAATATGGTGTTGTGATTTACGGGAATTAGAATGAATTGTTTGTATACACAGTAGGTCCCTTGTTTGGACATGAGTAATATAAGTATAGAACAATTAATCGTACTGTGAGCAATGAGCTCACTAAATGATACCCCCTGCTTCCCATATGAATATAATGGCAGTGTCCATGTTTTGTTGTTGGAATCCCAATATTTGTGTCAGATCAAAAGGTAAAATAGGAGGTGAGCAATGCCAATATGTAATACAGATTCTGTGAAAGTTTCATCAAATTTCATTCAGTGGTATGAGAGGAGTTGCGGAAAAAGCATGGGTACCCCAAAGCGTAACAGACAGACGGACGGACAGCCGGATGGACGAACAGACGGACGGAAGGACGGACATAACGATGGCTATAAATTATACCCTCCCGCTTTTCAGATGGGGGGTATAATAATTTATACATTCAAACTTTGGTGTAGAAGTAGATGCCTGCCGTATTACCGTATTACAGTTAAAATTGTTTTGGGAAGATAATTCAGAAGAATCGAAATATTTAATTTGTGGCTATATCATCTTGAAATGAAAGTTTAAGTCTTGCCGCTAACTGGAAAGGGAATCAGTTTATATGTACAATATGTTTAGTTTATATGTACAAACTAATTCATGGAATGTTTCAAGATTAAATATGAGATTTAATGGCTTGAAGTATTTTGTGTGGTTTTTTGAATACTGGAAATTTCACTGTTTCGTTTATTTTCTTTCCCTTGACCCTCTAACTCTAGTCGATTTGAAATCTCAATATTATTAATTACCAATTAGAATCGGTTTCGAAAAATTATACAAATGAGTCATATCTAGTCTACTATCCAAGTTGTTTTCCTAGTTAATCTTTTAAAAACTCTAATATTCTAATGCAATTGTTTTGTAAAACACCAATTGGCTAATCCACTGACGTTTGAAGCAGTAAAACCAGCATTAACGTGAGTGAAAGCTTTCCATTGTGATGTCATCATAAAGGGATGCAAAAACACTGCTCCATGACGTATTTTATATAACAAAAATCAACAAAATAAGACGTAAAGAACAAACAAAATGCATAAATTGCATTAGAATGGGAATAACTAACCTTCTAATTTGGTATTTCGGTAAAACTCAGTTTGCGACCGTTATATCAGCATTAACGGTCGCAAATACCAAATTATAGAAGATAGTAATTCCCTAATTGACCTGCTTGATTGGTCCATGTAGTGACGTCACAGTAGAACAGCCGCGTTATCGTTCTCTTCGATTTTCGCTTGACGTTGAACCTACGTCGTATGACATTACAACTTTTAATTGTGATTAGCCTGTGCTGGAATCATGATGACATCATAATTAATTCAATGCCACTTTTTGTTGTAAGTGTACAAGAGATGATATCATTAAGGAATGTTTGAAATGACAAATACATTTTCACAGCAAGATGATGTCATTTCTGTCATATCCATTTCCGTCTTCAGATTAATTGATTACCATGTTTTATGTGTACGTTCCTTCAATGTTAACTCATGCTAAAATTGAAAATGTACATTTTATTTTACCATTGATAAATTTCCGATCGTATTTTATTCAAACAAAATGGGAATCTCAAAATGGTTTGAATTATTTCTAGACACTAAGTGTTTTAGGGTAAGTATCTTTTGATATCTCTACTTTTAATAAGCATTTGAACGCCTGATTTAATATGATGTTGAAACGTTTCAAGTGCAACTTTATTATGTCCAACAACTAGTTGTTTTATTTTGTCATCTTTCAGCAATAAAGTGGCAGTTACACAATGTATATCTGTAATGATAAAAACTTCATGGTCGTATTTGCTTTTATTAATTTTCATGTATTTATTGGATAACATGTAAAAATGTGCTTTCTTTGAATCCTAAAACGACGTCCTAACGTCCTAAAAATAAAACACCCTTAAACTTTTTGTCCACAATCATGTAATAGGCTTTATTCTTTGAATAACAGTTTTTGCTATGCTATCTTTCATTTCCACGACGTCGATATGTCGTTCTCACGAGATATTATCACATTTCACGAGTTACATGTATTATCTCGTTTTCACGAGAAATTATGTCGTTTTGACGAGATATTTTACGAGTTATTATCTCGTTTTCACGTGTCCTAAATATACCTCCGTAAGGTTTAAAGTAAAAATACATATCTTTTTTTTTTAGATAGACATGTAGATTAAAAAAAATTCATGGATCAATTTACAAGAAGGGCAGATGTTAGACATTCTGTTTCAAAACTTTCAGAACATATGAAAATAGAATTCGAAGTATCCATAAATAAAACACGTCCTTTTAAGATTTATTCATTTCCGGGTTTTCTTGTTTATATAAGATATAATGATACATTTGACAGAGAAACATGATCTTTTTATGCATATCCTGATTTTCCGATCCTTTTCTTACATTTAAAATTGTACAAAAATAGTGTTGTTCTCTGAGTTTTTGGACATTTCCGTTAAGAGTTTAAATGTCAGGTGTTTGATGAAAGACATAAACAAAACTTCTAAGTGTTCACTTTAATAAATGTATTTATCTAAAATCTATTTTATAGAATGGTATGATATTTTCAAATTATTACAACAAATCTTCTCAACAATTGTAGAAAGAAAATCAAATATCACTGATGAAACCCAATGTTCCGAGACAAAGCTTAAAAACAATAAATCTGTAGTTTGCGGCACGTAAAATGACCATTGAGATAAGCCGTTGGAATGTTGATATTTGAACCGTCTTTGCACCACGTTTTACTCACATTTATTTTAATGTTTAATTGTCCTTGATATTACTTTTAAAAACT